TGTTTGTATGTATACACATATATATATATGTGTATTTGTGTGTGTCCATCCCCAAAGCATCCTGGATAAATACTGCTTAGCCTGTTTTTAAAAAAAAATACTTGGAGGTCACTGTATATACATATATTCAAGATAAACTCTTTCCTGGTTCCCCACTTCTGCTTTTCAGCCCATCCTAAGGCCCTATTCCATTGTCCATTTTTTGAAACAAATAGGCTGTGAAGGAAAGGTGGTGGTATTTCTCTGTGAGCATTTTTCCTAACCATGGAGATACTTTGTTATTCTGCCTCATCATTTTCTATACAACCCGAGACCTTTCATGTGTCTCTCTGCTCTGCTGACCTGGAGGAACGGGAACACAGAGGCTGAATGATTCCCTGGGAGGAGAGCCAGGGTCACAATCCCTGCGGAACCTGATTCAGGCATGACTCAAAGCCATGCTCTCCGACTTGCAGCCAACAGTCAGCGTGGGGTTTGTATGCGGCTGTGTGCAGAACACCGCTCCCCCCTCCTGCAAGCTGATCTGCATGCAGGAGAGCTACAGACCTGCTGGAAATCTGGCCTCAGAGCTGTGGAATTCCAGCAAGGTGGCATTTCCATATTCTCTGGCAAGAACTAATTAGTGATTATAAAGCTCTTTGAAAATATGAAGAACTGAATGATAATATCTATAATGAGCCTTATTTCTCTCCCTTTCCCTTCTTCCCTAGGTGGGGGGAGGGGGAGGGACAGGTTTACACAGACTGGGGATAGGGCAGAGAGAAAACAGCATTCTTCCTCTGACTCATTAGTATAAGAAGATCGTAGACTTGGAGCTGCAGGGGACCACAAATGCCATCTCGTCTCTCCCACTCATTTTATAAATGGGGAAATTGAGGCATGGAAAGGCTGAGCAGCTTGTCCAGGGCCACATAGGAACTGAGCGGCAGATGTGAAATACAAACAGTGGTCCAATGATGTCTACAAATGGCCCCCGTTTCAGCGGGTAGCTCTAGCCAGGAAGTTGGAGAAAGGAGAGCAGCTGGGTCATTTAATTGTAAAAAGATCTCTTCATACATACATACATACATACATACATACACACACACACATATATATATATATATATAAACTCACTTTTCCTCCATTATAATGTAAGCGCCTTAGAATTGTTCTGTTTGCTTTACTTTTGAGTTTCCAGGACTCAGCCGAACTTGCCACAAGGGTGGGGAATCTGCAGCCTCGAGGCCACATGTGGATTGTTTGGATTCAATCAAAAGGCCACCCTAGAGGGCTAGAGGGCCACATGTGGCTTTGAGGCTGCAGGTTCCTCACCCCTGGCCTTGGTATAAAGCAAGCACTAAATAAATGCTCTCTCTGTCTCTCTCTTTGTCTCTGTCTCTCTCTCTGTCTTTCTGTTTCTTTGTCTCCGTCTCTCACCTGTCTGAAATAAGATATGTTAACCATTTTGCGACTTAAAAAGTGATACATAAATGTGAACTATTATTATTGGTATCAGTCACCATTTTCTGTTACTGTTATCGTACATTTAATGAAAACATGGCAGAACCCTAACTCTGCGTGATTGGTGCTTTGCCTTGGAGTAGAAAATTTAGATGATATAAAAATCTCCTTTAGCAAAGGAGAAGGAGGTGAAGGGAGTTTAAGCTCAGATGCTGGCCCCAGGAGTTGGGAAAAGATAGGTTGAGTTTGAGGCTGTGGGGACACTTGACAGTTTACCCCCTGACTCTCTCACTCTCATAAATTCCCAACCCATCCTTGCCCAGTCAGGTGGGCAGAAGTTCCCTAGAACTTTTCCTTCCCTTCTACATTTCCTGGAGGATCAGTGTATCTCCTATCCTCCGCAAGCAGGAAGACTTCTCCCTCGTCAGAGTGCGAGATGGAGATATATGATCTGAGGACAGGGAGAGCGATATGCTTGCTTGGGGGTGAGGGACCCCTTCATTTTTGTTTTTATTTTTTTGTTTGTTTTTTGTTTTTGTTTTTTTTGCATTGTCAGAGTCTAACACAATGCCTGACACAATGCAGACGCTTAATAGATGTTTGTTGGACTGAATTAAATTGAACAGGTCATCCAGGGATAACCTGAGGAAGGGGGGTGGAGCGGTTAAGCTGAATCAGGAAGGGAGAAAACCTTGATCAAAGCTAGAGGTCTCCCACAGACTAGAAATTAATTTAGTAGGGGTAGAGGACCCAACAGGGAGTACAGGCTTTTGAAACAGTATAAGAAGGCCTTATGGTTCTGGCAGAGAAAGGAGCTGATGTAATATTCCAATTAGGAGAGCAATAAGAAAGTCTAGGCCTAAATTCCAGCTTAGAAAAATAGATGAAGAAGCCACGTTTCATGAGCAGGCATTTTGGTGCCGTGGCAAAGGCCATAGCTCTTTGGAGCGGGAAAATCTGAGTTCAAAGCCATGCTTTGTTGTCTGTGTGACCTCAGAAAAACTAGTTAGCCTCTCTGGGCCTCAGTTTCCTCATCTGAAAAATGAGGGCTTGGCTTTGATTTTTTTTTTCCCAGCTCAAAATCTATGATCGGATAGTAAAAATTTGGAAGAAAGGTTGAGGCTTGGAATGAAAACATGATACAGTTCCCTAAAGCTGTGATCTCCAAGCCAATGTGCAGTTCAATTGCAGTTATCTTGTGAATAGAAATATATACTTCGTATGTTCATCAATTCTCTGCTTTCTGAGAAAAATCCACTTGGGAAATCTCAGTCTTATCTCCGTTAGCCCAAGGAATAAAAGGGGTTTGTCCATATCTGTTGTTGTTATTGTTGTTCTTGCTGGTTCTTCATTCTCAAAGAGGAGCATGACATCAGGAAGGTGATGCTACAACCTGCAAATGAATTGGACTGTGCAAGGTCAACAGCCTCGCTTTCTCCCCTGGAACCATCTGGGTCTAGTGGCAAGATATAGATCAGAATGACTGGACATGGCCCCTACCCACATCTGTAATGAGAAATAGGAGGTTCAGGTCACCAGGTGTAGAAGCCAGGTGTGGTATACCAGTAATAGTCATGGCCCCTTGAATTTATCTATGGAGCTGAAACTATAGAAGAGGTAAAAATCAGAAAAAGATGAGCTGGTGGACAATTTAGGGTGCCTGCCACTCAGGTAATCCTCACAGTTACAAGGGGAAAATGGTGGCCAGTAGAAAGCCGCAGGTATTTCTCACATCTTCCTCTCCACTGTCCAACTGTAGAATAGATTTGTGGATGCCTACTTTCCCTGTCAGGCTGCTAGGTGGCCCAGTGGATAGAGCACTGATCTTGGAATCCAGAAGTCTCATCTTCTGGAGTTCAAATCTGGCCTCAGATACTTATTAGCTGTGTCACCTAACCCTGTTGGCCTCAGTTTCCCCATCTTTAAAATAAGCTGGAGAAGGAAATAGCAAACCACTCTAGTATCTTTGCCAAGAAATCCCCAAATGAAGCCATGGAGAGTTGGATATGAATGAACAATAACAACTTTTCCTCTCACATCAGTAGGCATGGAGGATGGGATGAAGGTGAGGTAAGAAGAGAGATAGACTGACAGCATCCTAAATGTGATGTAGAATTTTTTATTAGTATGTGTCACCCAGCCCCCCCCAATTAATGAGAAATGTGAAGAAAATAGGGTAATGAATATGATAATATGATAATATATATGGAATGTTCTGAGCTTCTTTGAAGGAAGGTGCGAGGTATTATAACTATTATTTTCACACAGCGCATCTCTATTTTTATTAATGTGTTAAAAATACAGAAGATTTGCTTTTTATGAAGCATTAACACTCTTCAGACGAGTAATTCCCCAACCATTTCATAGATTTCATAAAGTCACAGAAGTGGAAGAGACTTTAGAAATCTAGATAATCTAGTCCTTCCCTACTCCCATCCCCATTATCTCCTTCAGTCTTTGGTCCTCCACTCAGCTGTTGGCTATTGGCTGTTAGCCTTTATTTTATTTTTTAAAATAATTTATTTATTTTTAGTTTTCAGCATTTGCTTCCATAAGATTTTGAGTTTTAAATTTTCTCCCCCTCCCTCTCCTCCCTTCTCCCCAAGATGGCCTTTATTTTTTTTGTTACCACCTAGAATTTCCTCAAAATACTATTCAGTCACTATTTCCAGTAATTTTTCATTGACTTAAACTCAAATGATGTTCAAAAACATGCAGTCACTGAAAGCTAGATTTAGATTTAAAGAATTATCCTACCACGTAGGAAGAGTATGAAAAAAAAAGATACATAGGTATGCAGGGGATTACCAAAATGAACATTGGAAATGCTGTGGTGAGGATTTAGAATCCAATCCAATAGCATTTATTAACTGCTGGGTATTAAGCTCTAATGATACAAAGGTTTTTGGGGCAGCCAGGTCTGGAGTCAAGAGGACCTGAGTTCAGATCTGGCCTCAGACACTTACTAGCTGTGTGACCCTGGGCAAATCACTTAACCCTGTTTGCCTCAGTTTGCTCAATCTGTAAAATGAGCTAGAGAAGGAAATGGCAAAACACTCCAGTATCTTTGCCAAGAAAACCCCAAACGGGGTCATGAAGAATCAGGTAAGATTGAAACAACTAAATGACAAAATACACAGGTTTAACAAAAAATATCCTAGCCCTTGAGGAGGGATACAACATATAAACAAATAGGTGTTTATGAGAGAGTGTAGTTCATCTGGAATCAATCAATCAGAGTGCTGACTTAGGTGTGAACAAGACGTAGATGTCTCCATTAAATCAATCAATTAATGAAGGGGACTAGACTCAATGGGGAAGTCCTTGAAAGCTTTGGATGAAATGTAGGTAGGTGTCTTGATATTGGCTAAGGAGGTTTATTTGTATCCTGTGGGTCTTCTATAAAACAGCAAGCCAGTTTGGAAGCCAGGCATTCCACCACCTGGCACCATAGAGAAGTCCAGTCAAGCCACTGGAAAAAAAAAAATCACTAAGGGGCTGAGACAGACAGACTCTGCTTCCTTCCCCTCCACCCTTTGACTGTAGGAGGATCCTGTGAATTTGAAAAGGTTTGGAAGATTCTGGACTTGCTATCTGCGGCATCCTAGCAGCAACCACAGAACAGCTGATGTCAGTATCTGCATCAAGGGCCAAAGACACGCTAGATGCACTGAGGGAAAGCTGCTTGAGGGACAGAAGAAGTCCACCACATTATCAGGGGAACCTCCTGAAAACCCCAGGAAGAGGACTTCTAGGACTTGTGAGTTATTTCCTCTTTGCTCTAAGCTTGAGCCCATTCTCCTCGGGATTCTGTCTGTCTGTACCAATGCAGAATGGGTCACAGACTTTGTTGGGGGGGGATGTTTAATACCAATTGTTATGACTATATCACCTATGTAAATATTCCTTTCTAATAAACTAATTAAGTCAGGTTGATAATCATTGAGAGGCACATTGATGGGGGTTCATGAGCTCAGACCCTCAGCATGCCCTAGACCTCTAAGGCGAGACATAACAGCCACTCTCTGGTACCCAACTTGCCAGTACAAGTTGGGATTGGGAGAGTAGCTCCAATGCAGGTGTTATATATATATATAATAGGTAAGAGTGAATATTGATAACAAAGGGGACTAAGAAAGAGTTCCTATAGGAGAAATCACATGACATGCATTGCAAAGGAAGCTAAGGATTTTAAGAGGAACAAGTCAGAAGAGAGAATAGTACAAGCATAGGGGACAGTGTACAAAGGCATGGTGGTGGGAAATTGAGTTGAGGGAGCAATAACCAGACTGATTTGGCTGGAATGTGGAGTACTCTAAGGTACTTGATTAGGTATTAGGTAAATACCAATGTATTTAACAGGCATTAAATCTAAAATGGCAGGTTAGAGATTGTGAAGAGCTTCAAACACCAAGCTGAGGAATTTGTATTTTATCCTAGAACCAATAGGAAGCCATCGAACTTTCTTGAGCAAGAGAATAACATCATTGGATGTATTTCAGGAAGATTGTTTTGGCAGCTGTGTGGTAGATAGATTCAAGAGTAAAGAAATTTTAGAAACTAAGAATCCAATTAGATAGCTATTGCAATATGTTAGGTAATGGATATAAAGGACTTGACCCAGAGTGAGAACCCTGTGAAGAAAGAGAAGACCAATGTGAACAATGCTATAGAATAAAGAAAGTCAAGCAGTAGCTTAGAAAGTGAATGTCCCTCTAGAAAGGCACAAATGAAGGGGACACAGAGAAGGGAAGAGAATCATGTTCTCTCAAGTATCGATCATCCACTCTATTTTTTCTCAGGCCAAGCTTCTGTTTTAAGGTTTAGATGAAATCACAAAATTGTAGAATTTCAGAGCTGGAAGAGACTTTAGAAAGTATCTAGTCCAAATACCTCATTTTAAAAATGAGAAAGTTGAGCCCCAGAGAAATGAAGTGACTTGCTCAACATTCCATGGCTACTTAGTGGTAGATTCAGAGTTAGAACCTGGGACTCCCAAGTATGGTCTTCCTCCTGTCTTTCCTCTGTTCTCGTCTCTCTCTCTCTCTCTCTCTCTCTCTCCCTCCCTCCCTCCTTCCCTCTCCTTCCTTTCCTTCCTTCCTTCCTTCTTTCTTTCCTTCCTTCCTTCCTTCTTTCCTCCCTTCCTTCCTTCCTTCCTTCCTTCCTTCCTTCCTTCCTTCCTTCCT